AAATGTCTAAACTGAATATGCAAAGAGAATGAGAATATAATCTAATCCCTAGTAAAGAAAAAATATTATGTGTTTCCTTAAACCTCCTTCCTCTTCAATCACAGAGGATTTAAAACTGTAACAAAGGCATGGTAGCCTAGTGGCTAAAGTCCTTGCCCTTCATGCACCAGGACCCATATCGGCACCGCTTCTAATCCCAACAGCCCTGTTTCCCATCCAACTCCCTACTTGTGGTCTGGGAAAACAGTCAAGGACACCCCAAAACCCTAGGACCCTGCACCCACATGGGAGATACAAAAGAAGCTCCTGGCTCCTGACTTCGGATCAGCTCAGCTCTGGCGATTGCAGCCACTTGCGGAGTGAATCATTGGACAGAAGATTTTCCTCTCTGTCTCTCCTTCTCTCTGTAAATCTGACTTTTCAATAAATGAATATATAAATCTTTTTTAAAAATTGTAAGGAAGACAGTAGGGACCTGGAAGCCAGGGTAGGTTAAAGATGGAAAGGAGAAGTTGTTTTTAACATTTATCTATCTATCATCTAGCTAGCTAATGTATATATAGCCTATTTGATAAGTGGCAAGAGAGCTCTCTCTGATAGTTCATTCCCCAAGTGACCATAATAGCCAAGATCGGGCCAGAGCAGGACTTGGCAGCCAGAACTCAAGATAGGTCTTCCACATGGATGTCAGGAGTTAAGGCTAGGTATCAAACCCAGGTATACCAATACCTGGTATAGGAGGTTGGTGTCTTAACCATTAGCTGAAACACTTGATCTGAAATAGGATTCTGAAATGGTCTAAAGTGGCCCAATATTCCATTATGGGAGGGGAAATCCCAACATGGTAGAAGACAATGATTGGAAAGTCACAAAACCAGCTCAAGTTGGAACCAACCGAATATATTCACAAGTATTGCATTCAAGCATGCCTCAACATGAAAAGTCCACACACGGTATCTCAGAATTGATCCAAGCCTGGAGTTCTTTCATTTTCTAGTGAGTGAGTCTATGAAATGAACTGTGTCACAGTGATTATGACTAAAAGTGACCACGAGTCAAATTCTAGCTCTGCAGCGGAAAAACTTGTGCAAGTTAGATACCTTTCTAAAACCGTTTCTTCATCTGTGAAATAGTACAATAATATCCATATAATATATACACATCATTAATGTTAGATGAACAATATAATGTTGTTACAAAAATAAAACAAGCTGATAGGCCAGAAGATCTTGGCATAGTGCTTGGTGCATAGTGAAGTGCTTAATCAATCTTGGCTGTTAACTTTTAAATAATACAATTGTATGTATGTATAAGTAATTCTGAAATTGATACCCATTTATACAATCCTTTGACAGTAATTCTGGCCTTGTCTTTATGTAAGAACCTACAAATATTGACTATATTCTATTACATATTTTTTATTATATCTTAAAAATTATATCTTAAAGGCAATTCAACAGGTTGCTTCACTAAATGATCAGGGGATTCCTGAGCTCTGAAAATTAAAATTATTAGAATAAATCTTACTGTATATTATCGGTAGATTACCAACCCAAGAGTTACACAAAAGTGGGTGTGCTTCAAAAATCTCTTTTGTGATTAATTACCAACCCAAGAGTTACATAAAAGTATGGTGTGCTTCAAAATCTCTTTTGTGATGGGCCAATAACAATAAAGAGATAATAAAGTAAAGAGTTTCCCTGTTGATACTACACTCTAGTAGACACAGAAATAGACATACAGTTTGAGATCCTTTCTCCAGCCTCTTATAACATTTAATATTCATCTCCCGTATTCCTTTCCTGACACCTGCCACTTTAAACCCCTCACTTGGTGTCGCTATTGGACTTTTAGATTCTCTCCTTATCTTTAACCTCTTTATTTGAGGATGTGACTTTTGACTAACCTTTGACCTGAAGTTCAGCAGTTAAGCTGTCCATTCTCTGAAACCCCTTTATTCATTTGCCCTTTTAAGGACAAAGCTAGTCGTGCATAACTTATACTTATTTTGGCCATTTCAAATCATTCATAGGTGATAAAGCCTCATAAGCAAGTGCTGAAAAGTCTATCCTTGAGTGAAAATTATGAAAAACAAATCTTCAAAATTTTTAAGTATATGTATTCATTTGAGAGGCAGAGGTACACATACAAACTAAGAGAGAAAAACGGATAGATAGAGAAAGAGCAATAGAGAAACAAGGAACTCCCATTCACTGCTTCATTTCCTAAACGTCTGCAATGTCCAGGGCTCCAGCCTACGTCAGTTAACTAGGAACTCATTCCAGTTCTCCCAAGGAGGCTCAAGTAGCAAACTGTTGACCATCACCATTTCTTCCTAGGGTCTGTATTAGAAGCTTGAGTCAGGAAACAGCCGAACATTTAGCCCAGATACTCCAATATAGAACATGGGAATCTTAACTGCCCTGTGGCCACAATGGCCGGAGCTGAGCGGATGCAAAGCCAGGAACCAGGAACCTCTTTTAGGTCTCCCATGTGGGTGTAGGGACCCAAGGCTTTGGACCATTCTCGACTGCTTTCCCAGGCCACAGACAGGAAGCTGGATGGGAAGCAGGGCTGAGACACAAACTGGTGCCCATATGGGATCCCTGGTGCGTGCAAGGCAAGGACTTTAGCCACCACTGCACCAGGCCTAAGAATGGCATCAAACTATGGGTTTCTCAGGAAAATTCCGTCTGGTTAAGTTTTTCATTTCAAGCCATCTTTCCTTCAGAGGAATTAGGATGTCATTCTTAACAGAATCAGTATTGATATAGCTTTCCGATTTTGGGTGTGGGTTGTTATTTTCAGGTAGGTCATAAGAACTAAATATAATTCTTTGTTCTCAGATTTTAGCTTTTTAGGGGGAAGGAATATACACAACTGTGTATAATACAAGGAAGAAGAAATAAGGGTCAAAGGCATACAAGGGGATTCCAAGGAAAGAGAAAGTAGATAAAGTAGTGGATATCTAGGGCTTCATGTGAAAGTCATTCAGAATTTTAATAAGCAGCATTTGACATGGGGTGAGGGATGGAATGAGGGAGTTGGAACATCAAAACCAGTGTTTGGAATCACAAGAGTAAAGTTAGAAGAAAAGAGGAGCATGTTTGAGGGTATCCAAGTGGAGCTGTTTTATTGACATATGCAAGACGTGTAGGGATTAGGAAAAGTAAAGCGGAATGGTACATGGGTTGGGAGGCAGGCTGCAGAGGGCCTGGTCTGCTGGTCTCAGTCTGAGGGACAAGATAATAGAGGTTTGGTAATAGGGTTGTGATCTGTCCACAAATGTGATGTGAACAGGAGAAACGGAACGGTGTGAAGGTGAAATAAAGCAGGTAGGGGAAGAGGAAGACACAGGAGATGGTGGATTTTTCTAGGCCAAAGACAATGGGAAGAGGGGGAGAAAGTCAAAGCCAGCACAGTGGCTGAAAGTGGAAAGAGGAGGGACTTAGTAAACTTATGGAATTATTACTAAAAGGAAAGGAATCACAATTTCTTTTCTTAAATAATTTATTTGCAATAAATTAGCAATTAAATAACAAATAATAATAAATGGTTAAAAACTTGCAACAAATAAAATCTTTGGTTGATACATCTAATCATATTCCACAAAACACAATGATTCAACTTCAACAAAAAGCTATCTGAGGATTACAGAAAGCTATTAAAAAGAAATGGGCATATTTTCCATCCTAATATACTTGGTGATCAAACAAGACTGTAGAAAAGCTAGACTTGGGGGCCAGAAGACGTGGTCTATGTTCAAATTTCCACTGACTATCCCAGTGGACTGTGGAGATCCACCTGAAAAATGCTCTGAACCCATTTTCTCCTCTATAAAATGAAGCAATGGAATTATCCAATTATATCTAAGTATCAAGGGGTGTGTTTTTACTTGCTTTCCAGGAGTTTCTAGAGCTGTTCTAGCAAACTATTTACTTTTGTTCAAGTAATAGAATAGCATTTCAATATAAATACATAAATAAAATTCCTTCTTTCTACAGTGATAGGAAATGACCATTCCCCAATTGCATACACACTGGAAATTCCTAATATCAAATGCGTTAATTTTTTACCTGTGGTTCCTAAGATTTTAAGACCAATGTATTGTCAAAAAGTTTGGATGTAATCACATGACATCATTTGCATTCCAGGTTCAATGATGGGCTTGATGTTTGAACAGCGGGGCAGCATGTGGTAATGACTTTGATCGGGACCACACTTCACACACTTGTCGGGTAGCACCCCTTCACAGAAGCATGAGCTAATGCTTCTCAGCTCCCCCAAATCTATCAAATGAGTGCTTGAAGTGTGACTTCTAGAATTTCATAAATATAATTGAGTTTTGTAGGTCTTGTGTCAGCAAGAATTCAGGCTGAGTTTAGATTTTTAATACCTGACATGTGAAACTAAGCGGCAAGCTGACTTATTGAAGCTGCTCTTCATGAGAAAACCACGAATGCTAACCCTAAACTGTCAAGTCCTCTCCTTTTGCAGGAATGCATGATTGCTGTAGCGATGACATGGGCATAAATGTGAGCAAGACTTCTCATTTTCAGGGAGTTCAGAGAATGGCGAGTTGCCCACATGCATCTGCGGTGCTCCTGCGTCTTCATACCACCACAAGGCCTTCTGTCCACAGACTTCCACAAGTCTCCCTGGCTGGCTATGTTTCCATTCATTAGTTGAAATTTACTGATCAAATATGTCTCATTTTTCAAAAACTATAAAATAGGTCCCATAAGAAATACTTATCCATTGGTCTGAAGTCCCTTATGAGAAAAATTTCTTTTTCATAACTGAAAACATTGAATGACACAGTGATTTTTCAAGTCTGTTATATATTTCGAACATCTTACACAGAGCTTGGATTTAGAAAATAGGAACAGGTCACTCTGCCTGAGACACCAGGGGTGACAGCCTCCAAAATGACGTCCCTCATGGCCTCCTTCTGGCTCTCCACAGTGAACCCAGAGCTATTTCCAAAAAGTTTAGCTTTGGGCTTTAGTGACATTCATCAGGGTTGACTCTGGACTCTGGATTGGTAACTTCAGGATAAGTGTGGCCAGGGGGCGGCAGCCAGCAGTCAGATTCCCACTATGGGATGTGATGGCTTGGGCCAGGTGACTGAACCTGGTAGTCATCTAGTAGAGTCCTGTTCTCCAGGCCGGGCAGGTGGGGTCCTTGGGGGAAGAGCCCCAGCATGTTTCCCTGAGTAGCCACTCCTGTTTGCTGCAGGTTTTGTTCCCCCAAGATCTTGACCAAGAAGTTAATATATCTCATTGCCAGGCGGAGTGTTTCATTTTTGCTCAGCTTTTTGTCTGGAGGGTGGGTAGGGATGAGCTTCCTCAGCTTGGCAAAGGCACTGTTGACGTTCTGCTGCCGCCACCGCTCCCGGGTGTTTGTGAAGATCTTCCTGGTCATGTCTGAGTCCCTGAGATGGGAAAGAGAAAGTACTCTGAGGGTCAACACCTTATAAGAGACCTCACTGGCCTTGCAAGGTCTGCCACAACTCTGTAGTGTTAGCGCTTGTCAACCTAGAATTTAGGGCATTTATTTCTTCATTCTTAGGTTCTCTAAAACATCTTTCTAATAGTGGCAGGAAAAAGAACAGAATAAAAATAATGCTTTTCAACCTTGTTTTCTCTGGCCTCCAGTTACAAGATTATTTATTCCAACACTTGCATTACTTCTTTCATAGACATGTTTGTAACTACTCAAGATCAAGTACAGAACAGGATCAAGTGTATGTGTGAATGAAATATACATTTAATCAATGTGGAACTGAACACAAATCCACAGCACATCATATATTCTTAATAAAAAGTTATGATCCTAGGTTTTGTTCACCAAACAAGATTTGAATGCAGAAAGTGGTACAGCTTTCCTCTTAGCTGGAAAATTCATCTGGAAAATTTGACTCCACTCCACCAAAGCTAAAATGCTGAGACTGGACCACATTTCAAGGATCTGGTGCTGGGGACTCCACAGTTCAGGGTGATGAAAGGTCTTGAAACCCTGCTGTGAATAACACAAGTAGATTTAGCTTGTGCAATATAAAGAGGTTGTGATTGGCGTATGATCACTTGCTGAAGATGCTGTCTAAAATACTTTGGGCTTTTTGAAGGTCCTAGTACATGACCTTTCACACATAGGAGAGCTGTGAATCACATGTGGCCAAATCATGGATAGCCATTTTGAACTCTCAGAGGTTTAAGTCCCTTTACTCAGGTGCTCTGGGTGAATATGCATCAGTGGGAACATTTATGATGCATTAGCAAATGAACCAAGGCTCCGACCCTTATTGCTATCAGACTGCTGCCTGCTCCAGGCTCAGCTCCCCAGGGCGCTGGGCACCTTCTAGTTCCTGCAAAGAGGAATATAAACATTCCTAACTTTACACTTTTGCCCATGGCATTCCCTCTCCCCTTCCCCCTTGCCTATTATTTTACACATTCTTCAAAGAGCAGTTCACATCCTCTCTGTTCACTGAGCCCTGACTCTACAGGCAGCTGTGCAGCAGAGTACATTACTCCTACAGCGCTGGGCAGCGAGCTGGAATGCCCCTTCAACCACACCAGTTCCAACCTGGAATGTAAAGAACCGATACTCTGCAGAGTTCAGAAGTATATTGTCAGCATACATTTAATAAATTATATGGAATACTCAATACTCCATCGTGACACAGGTTCTGTGTTAGACATTTTTGCCCAACTATAGGCCTAATGTACATATTCTGAACATGTTAAAGATAAGTAGACTAGCTATTAGATGCATTACAGTATTTCCAGTTTACAGTAGAGTTAATGGGATGTAATCAAATCACAAGAACAAGAGCACATGTGTTGTGCTGGCCACAGGCATGTAATTGACATTCAAGAGGGAAACAGGATATGCAAGAGCAGCAACCAGGTATTTTAAGGGACTTCCAGGCAGACCATGTCTGCTTACAAAACTTAAGAGGGTGGATTAGGCATCCCAATTTCTTTTGTCTTCTCTGAAATGCCACAATGCCTGTCCCTTGCCTTTTCCTTAACTCATTTCTGAATACCCTGGTCTTTGCTTCCATAATGAAATGAGTGCTTGCAGAACTGTGCCTTAACTATACTTAAAATACGAAGGTTTGGAACTGAATCAAGGGAATCTTAAGATGGAAAGAAAACTGTCAAGTCTTATTCACACTGAGACTGGCCAGGACAGTGGGAGCAAAGTTACTTTCAAGCTTCTCTCGTCAAAAAGAGGGTTTAGCTCATTCACTAAGTCAACTCCAGTCCTGTGGGGGGTCTTTTTCAAGCTGGGAGGAAAAAAGATTAGGCAGGCTAAACCAACCATGGTGCTCTAAGAGGGCTCAATCCTATTGTACTAGAAGCAGACAGAAGGAGCAGAAAGAAGCAAAGCTTGGCTTCTAAAATGGAGCCCGCCATCCTAGCAGGTGCTTAGTAATTACTTGTTGATTTATTATCAAGTGTGTTACTCTCCTTCTCCACGGGGAGAAATAGAAATCAGTGATTTAACAAGCTGGAAAAACTCAAAGCAAAGGTCACTGGAAAATACTGTAGTATGTATTCAATCAAAAGAAAATTACATTTAGTGTTCTTCCACTTGCAAGAATTGATTGCTGCTAATCTCCATTTTGGAATTATGTAAGAGCTAAACACACACACACACACACACACACACACACACACACACACACACACACAATACCACAGAAACAGAGAACTATATTTATGGGTATAGAAATGAGATTGAAGCATTTATGTCACACAAGGAGTCACTGGCAGGGCCCTTGTCCCATGCTGGGTTTCGGTGGCTACTGAGCATTCCTGGGTCAGGATCGCTAACCTGTTTTGTGCCTTGGATTCTTCTAGCAGTTCTACTGAAGCCTGGTGACAGATTCCTTCCCAGAACATTAAAACAAAAATACACTTTGATTCTCTTTTCAGAGTAATGATTTTAAATGTGTAAGTTAAAAAAACCAACAGAAAATAACTAGTTATGCTAATTAGTTATTAAGATAATTGGAAATTCAGCACAGTAGTAAATGTGCTTCATTTTAATAAATGAAATAAATAGCCAGACTTATTATCACAATTTCCAATATGTGACTTGTAAATGATTTCTCCAAAGATCTATAGCACCTGCAATGTGAGATGCAAGAACCAATAATTGCTATTGGTGATAAATTCACACTCTTGCTTATTATACTGTTATCCCTTATTGCCAGTGTTCACAGGTAAAGAAAACACTATATTCAGGTTAAAAGTTAGAATCTTCCTAGAACTCCTGAATCCTATCTGCGTAAACCTGGGTGGGTGGAGGTTATGGACTGGGTTAAGAAAACCTGTGCTGCCAGAAAAGCAGGGCAAATCCCGCGGGAAAAGTGTCCGCAGTCTGCTCTGTATTGTCATCACTGAAAGTCATTCCTGATCTGGGAAAAGAGTGGAATGATGCCCCTAGAGAAGGTGGGGTGCCCCAAACAGGAGTTGCTGCTCTTTCGTGCCTGTGGTCCCTGGACACAAAACCAGGGCCAGCTGCGGAGGATGAGGAAAAGGCTCACTGCTCACATTCTTATCCCGCCTTCCCGAACATCCGCATCACACAAGGCTCTGGCTGGAAATGCGTCGACTAGCCTCAGCTCTTGGTCTCTCATCTTTCTCTCGAAAGTGAAATGCAAACACTTGTCAGAATCAGAGAACCAAAGGAGGATCTATAAGTTAAACCAGGAGTAGGTGCCTCACTCCCTGACAAGCCACAGTTCTGCATTTTGAAATTATTATAAAGTAGCACTTAACGCTCACTTAAGAAAAAGACATCAAGCAGTACATAAGTGTTTAACTTGCAGTAACTTGTCTACACTCATCACCATTCCCCAGTGCACACTTGTACACACATCCAATCAACCTTTAAAAACCGCTGCACACACATCCTTTGCGGTTCAAGTTACTTTTTTCTCACGTCAAGAACTCTGCATATGGATGCATTAAGTCAGTACAGAGCACGGATACGGTTCTTTGGGAAGACGCCATCAGGGTGCGCGGTACCTGCTGCGCTCTCTGCAGAGCACCTGTTGGGAGGTGACCTCAATACCCGACCCTCCGATTCCTCAGCCCCGCCAATATCCTGCCCCTGCCGCGCAGCCCGCTGCCCTTGCTCGCTTCACTTCTCGGGTTTTCTTTCCCTTTTTCCTTTTCTCTCTACCCCACAATCCTTCCTTGCAGTGCCTTGCAAAGCATTGCTCTTCCTGGTGAACAAGTGTTTCGGGAATTAGAAAAGCATCTCTCAGCTCCAAGTGTTGCCATCTGCCAGGAGTGACTTACAGAGAGGCACGAGCTCGCGAAAAGGTCTGGGAGATGCATGGCTGGGAATTCCTAGCACCACGGATGCAGGCGAAGCGGCCCGACCAGCAAGCGCTACCCGGTGCTGTGGCTCTGCGAAAGCAGTGTCCCATCCAGTCCCTACCCCGAGGAAAGGTTTTTCCACCTAGCCCTCCCCGGTGAGTGTGGACTGAGCGTAGGACCTCCTGGGTGGCGTCCCCGTCCCCTGAAATTGACGCACCTCTGCCTGGAATTGGGAGTCCGCGCGGGGATTTCTGCGCCGCCGGCTGTGCACGCCCTCGCCTGGATGCTGCGTCTGGACTGCCGCATTTATAGGACACTACCCTTTGTCTCTTGGGGCCCCGGTCCCCACCGGAGCCTGCTGTCAGCTCCTGCCCCACTCTTTGCGAGCTGGCTTCCTGGGACCAGCCCTCCTGTGTGTCAAGGAGGGGAGACAAGGGAGGAAGAAGACCGTCCTTTATGTAAGGCTTGGGGGAAGGATGGGGCTCTGTCCCCTTTCAGCCACCTGGATTGGGGGTGCCACTGAGCAGCCTCCTTCCCCAACACAGGAGAACACCAATGCTGTGCTGCCACGAATCCAGCAGGCATGTAAGCCCCAGTGAGGCTTCAACTGTAGTGCAAGAACCATTTGTTCAGACCAAGATCCCAACACCACGACCCAGGTGCACCACATCAGGCATTTGGGGATATGGGATCTGAAGTGAGCACTTTTGCAAATACCCCAGCAGATTAAGATGCACAACAAAGTTAACGGCCTCTGTTCTGTACAGGCCCCCATGTAGACTCACCTGTTTCCAGTGCCCAGCACAGCAGGACTTGGCACTAGTAGTGATGGAGGAGCCTCCTCACCAGTCTTCCTTGCTCTGTGCTTGCCTCCCCCCTGTCCATCAACATCAGCATGGATGAACCCTGTGAAACCCTCCCGTGAGTCACATTTTCAAAATCTTTTGGTGACTCTCCACTCAAAGTTCAGTTTAAGTGGCCAGTCATTCTGACCCACCTGCCCTTCCCTGCCCAAGGTTCCCCAGCTCCAGTCCTCTGGCCTTTCTGTTGTCTCGGAATGTTCTAGAAGCCCTCTTGTTTCCTCTGCTGAAGACACACACACACACACATACAACCCC